ATATTTATATATACACATGTATTACAATTTTAAACTGCAATCTCATGAAGCAGTTGTTGACTCGAGTCACGTATATATAAAGACGGTGTGACTCCAAGCGAAGAGTTAACAACTTTCAACTCAGTATACTTATTGTGAACGTTGAACTAAAAACGGTATCATGGTCTCCCTCGCCTTCGTTTGCTTCGTGAGCTGTGTCTTCTCTGGGGCGTTCACACAGACAGCGTCAGACATCCCGACCTTGACTGATTCACTCCTGGGTATAGTTGCTGCCATAGACACTAATGGGGATGGACAGGTTTGTTTATATGTTTAAAAAACTTTTTTTTTTTTTTTTCAGGCGGCGGGAGGGGGGAGATGTTGCATTGTTTGGTACGTGTTTTACCTCCCTCGAAACTTCATAAAGTCATATAAGCTCTCGGGACACATTAAACATCTTCAGTTTGGTAGGAATTTTGAATTTTGCCACGGAGGCGGCTGAAGCCTACTGTTATCGAATTTAAAACCACCAAAGGATCTTAACGTGCTCAGCTTGCACACGGGACCTCCGAGATTTTTTTTGGCCCTTATCCGAAAAACGTTAAGCGTCAGATCTTACTTACCATAAAATTAGGGGTGTTAATGAAAGACAGCTGTAAAAAGGAGCCGAGGAGAAACAGTAGAAAGACTGCAGAAAGAATCAGGAGCCCAGAGGAGGAGACAAAGGGGAGGGGGGTGGAAGGGGTCAGAAAGTGGAGACGAAAGCAGACGACAAAACATTGCTTGAGAGCAGGAAAGGAGGTGAAGGGAGAATATTTTGGGGGAAGAAAATGATCCGTCGCTGTCAATTTTCGTAATCCGTGCCTATTGAATTAGAGGCGAACACAGTAACTTCTAAATGATCCAAACTGTGTCGCTGGAAGCGTAAAAACACCTATATTGAAAAAAAAAAAAGAAAAAAGGATATCTGATCTGGAATGTTGTGATTCTCACTATTAAAGTTATTGTTGAGATGTTGTGTTCCCTGCAGTTTAATTCTCATTACTTAACTTCACATTGTCACAAGTGAGCTTGTTTCGATAAAAACCAGCCATAAATGTATTTACTGACACATCTGGAAGATTCATGTCAATGATCAATGTTTGGACGAGTGAACTTGGAGTTTGAGTAATCAAAGACTGGTGGCTTCTGTAGCCTTGTGGCTAGGCGACCAGGGACTAGTAATCGTGAGATTGTTGGTTCAGGGGTTCGAGCCTCAGCTCGTCCGACGTGGTGTTCTTGGGAAAAGCACTTTTCAGGAATTTCCCATTTGGTTAGGCCCTTTCCGAGATGGATGTTAAACTCAGAAGTAGATGACTATAAATTGTGATGCTTGTTCGTCTACATGAGTTTACATGTCGTTCATCTTATCTGTTTCAGAATTATGAACATTGCTGATTGATCCGATACCCTCTATAAGCAAATACCTCAAAGTTATTTAGATGACTAAACATTGTGATGCTGGTTCGTCTACGTGAACGACCTGTAAACTCTTGTTCGTCTACGTGAGTTTACATGTCGTTCATCTTATCTGTTTCACTGAAACAGATAAGATGAACGACATGTAAACTCACGTGGACGAACACGCATCACAATGCATAGTCATCTAGGAAGTCCCGCCTCTTAAATCAGATAAAAGTGTTTATAGGGTGGTTGAACCTGTAGAGCTACCATTTCACCAGTTTAACCAAACAGTGACAGTTATTGTGTCGATGTACTCCTCTTTACTCAAACAATGGCCGTGGGTGGTTGGCGGGTGCTCTGGTGTGATTTACTCCTTCTTTCCTATAAAAAAACTATCGTCTTTATCGCTCCTCTTCTTTTTATGTTTATTACTGTCTTGTAACACCTCTAATCTTTGGCACCTATATGACCTAATTGTGTTTGCAAGTGCCGTAAAACAACGCTTAATAACACACCAAAAAAACACAAAAAAAACAACCAATGACCATTTGTAGAGCAGCGTGGTGGAATCAGTTTTGATTCTTGCATTTTTCCGCAGGTTTGTGAATTTTTATCAAATTTGTGTTTTTTGGCTCAACACCTTTCATGCCCATTAAAGAACTCATTTATGTGTGGATTTTTCTGAAAAACGTCGATTAAAGGCACAACAAATGTAAATTTTCAGTTACCACGGACTCTTAAGCTAAGGAAATAACTCATCTTTGGCGAGCATTTTCTCACTTAATTTACCTCTGAAAACAAGTGACCACCCCCTCCTTCTTTCGCAAATATCTCGACTCGTATTCAAGATAAATGGATATTTTTTTCATCCAAATAAAGACAAGTGAACAAGCTTTAAGATAATACCAATAACACTACATGCCCAAAAACTGACGAGAGCCTGATTCCACCACGCTGCCTCACATTTTCCCTCCTTCTGTCCACGTACAAGATGACCATACCAGAAAGACAGGCCGACTTCCGAAACAACTTTGACACCAATAACAACGGCTGTGTGGAGGGCGATGAGTTCATAGCAAGATTTACAGGTCAGTGGCTGGTCATTGTCTGTCTATATGTCTGTCTGTCTGTCTGTCTGTCTGTCTGTCTGTCTGTCTGTCTGTCTGTCTGTCTATCTCCTTCTACCTCGCCCTCCCCTTATACGTAGGTAATACATCAGTATTATTTCATGTTATAGTTATAATAGATGTTTTACTGGTAATAATAACAATACTAATGCTCTCAGGTCTGCTGAGGTAAAGTATAGATTGTGAAGCGCATAGAACTTGCTGTTGAGGGGGGATTTGCGCAAAAAACAATGCTATCTATTATAATTATAATTATTATTATTATAATTATTTTTATTATTATTATTATTATTATTATTATTATTATTATTATTATTATTATTATTATTATTATTATTGCTATTATAGTCGCAGTCTCGAGTACATATCCACGCTCTACGTAATTTAGAACTATTTGATTTACCTCAGCAGACCTTAAAAAGCATGACTCAGAAACTAATTCCACTTCCCGGGAAGCATGTAGTGCAAGTGACAGATTAAAAATGCTTGAGCAATTACAAACCTGGTCATGCCAGGGTGCACGGAAATGAGCGTGCTGATGAACTTGCCGGCAAAGCAGCACCCAATGGCCGAATCAAGCTCGACCCACCAATGGTGATCACCATATACATGGAGAGCCTTCACGACCTAGAGGAGACAGACTCCCACACACTCAGCACAATGAAATAAAAGTGTGTGCGGGGCACAGTGAAAAAAGTTTGCTCCGAGGAGTGGTCAGGCGTGTCTCAAACCAGCTCCTCATGGAGACAATTAGCAGGAAGACCCTGGGGTGGACGCTGGAAAGGAGAGACGAGCAGCTATGGAAATGTGCCGCCTGCTATGATTCTAGTTCTATATCCAAGTAATTCCAAGTAAACCGTCAAGATTATTTGTGATGGACAGTCATTTCCACCTTGGTGAGGTGAGGACATTTTGTGTGAAATCCACTTCCCAATTACACAACATTTGTCCTCTATATGACGGAATTCGAACTCTTGACCTTATGGTTACGAGCCCAGCAGCCTTATAAATATATCTACCTTTGGTTATGAGACCTGGGGAGATGTTAGCTGCTCGTTAAGCCTGTGACCGGATTCGAACGCATACCATTACGTTTGCAAGTTCAAGAGCCTAACCACTAACCATCAGACCACCCAACACATGATCTAATATTATATTTCTTCTTTCTTTTAGATCTAATTTTCTTTTAAAACCTCTTTCAGGCGGGAGTCGAACCCATGCTCGTAAAGATGCGAGTCCGACAGTTACAATCACACTCTCTACAACTGTAACATATTATTAAAATTTTATTTTCATTTTTGGGCGGGGTTTTTTCAGTATCTGATTTGCTTTTGGCTTTTTTTTCGTCTTCAGCGCTTAACTTCACCTCAGACTTCGGATCCTACGTCTTCTGGTCAGTGGTCACTCGAAATGGTGACCTGGACAACCCTACCTGTGTTGGGTTCAACATAAGTGGAGCGCGGACCGCTCCTGAGATCGTGCTCATCAATGCCAACATAGCCACGCTCACAGGGTGGTGTGAGAACAACCCAGCTCTCTACGTCAGCAACTCGGACTGCAAGTCAGTCAGATAATGATAAAAAGATGTGCTACAGCGTGGTGAAATTAGGTGCTCGTCAAAAAGAAGTAAATTTTCATTTCCCAGGGACTCTCAAGCTTAGGAAATAAGTCATCTTTGGTGGCAATTTCCCACTAATTCTACATTTGAAACCAGGTGACCCCCCACCTCCTTCAAAGGCAAATATCTCGACTTTAATTCAACATAGATAGATAATGTTTCACCGTAAGCAAGGGTAATGAACAACGGTTAAGATGATGCTAATAGCTCCACATACCCAACAATTGACGAGAGCCTGATTCCACCACGCTTTGACACATATAATGCTGACAGTACCAGAGTGGGGGACAAAATGACATAAATTTAGAATTGTTTTTTTCGTTTCTGAGGAATAGAGTTTTCAACTTGATTTATATTATTTCGAGGTCACTGAAGCAACCCCCCCCCCCCCCAAAAAAAAAAAAAAAAACAACAAAAAAACAAGGAAGAAAAAAAAGTCAACTGGCAATGTATTTCTATAAAAGCAAATCAAGTAGGGAACAAGCTACTTACATTATCGAACACGTGTTAATTGGGCTAAGTCGTGGTAGAGTTAATGTGATTGTCTGTTTCTCCCTTGCCTTGTCCCTTCATTTCATTTTATTAGCTGACACATATTTTGTTGGTGTCATACATATTTTGATCTTTACTTCGATTCTCTGTATGAGGAAGTCTTACTCTCTACAATAGCTGCACCGATTGAAAGAGAGGTTTCGTTTTATTTTATTTTCTTTCTAACAAGATTAGTGTTTTATGTATCTTTTTTTAAACTTACATGTATTTAGGACAGCAGTACCAACGAATTAATTCTCAATTTGTATTTTCATAAGAGCAAATCAAGTTCGTAACAAGCCAGGAACATTATTTTTAAAAGTGTTGATAAGGTTAAGTCGTTGTATGCTTAATGTGAGATAATGTGTTCCCCTTGTCTTTACTTCATCAAAAGCTTTCGTAGATTTTTATATTCATACATTTGATCATTGCTTCGCTTCACTCTAAGATGATGCCTTAATTTATTTCTACAATAGTAATAACAATCGCAAGAGACACTTCATTTTGTTTTATTATCTTCCTAAAGAGTTCTTTATTCGATTATATTACATTTTTCACGTATTGACGATGCCCATTCTTGTTATTTGAGACCGTTTAAAAGTGTGCTGTTTTGAAAAACCACAAACCAATGAAAAAAAAGCCCCGTCCCCTAACATTTCCACCCTCTGTCCCCCC